GACATCTTGCAATTTTTAATATGTGACCTGTATTTTATACTTTTTATATACTTTATATTTTTTAACTAATTGTACGGTATGTACATTCTGTGACCTGCATGTAATCTTGTATGCTTTATAATTTTTAAACTTTTTATATTTTATATATTTTTTAACATCTTGTATTTGTAATTTGTGACCTGTATGTACAATCTGTATTGAAAATGGTCAATAAATCTATCTATCTATTATTATTATTATTATTATTATTATTATTATTATTATTATTATTATTATTATTATTATTATTATTATTATTATTATTATTATTATTATTATTATTATTATTATTATTATTATTATTATTATTATTATTATTATTATTATTATTATTATTATTATTATTATTATTATTATTATTATTATTATTACTATTATTATTATTATTATTATTATTATTATTATTATTATTATTATTATTATTATTATTATTATTATTATTATTATTATTATTATTATTATTATTATTATTATTATTATTATTATTATTATTATTATTATTATTATTATTATTATTATTATTATTATTATTATTATTATTATTATTATTATTATTATTATTATTATTATTATTATTATTATTATTATTATTATTATTATTATTATTATTATTATTATTATTATTATTATTATTATTATTATTATTATTATTATTATTATTATTATTATTATTATTATTAATATTATTATTATTATTATTATTATTATTATTATTATTATTATTATTATTATTATTATTATTATTATTATTATTATTATTATTATTATTATTATTATTATTATTATTATTATTATTATTATTATTATTATTATTATTATTATTATTATTATTATTATTTTTTTTTTTTTTTTTTTTTTTTTTTTTTTTTTTTTTTTTAATTTGGTGTCATCGGCGTCGACTACTATGGCCATTAGCCTCGTGTTCTGTGTAGGCTTTGTTACTGTTTCCCAGCGCCACTTTAGGAACAGCACTGTTAATTAGAACCCAACAGTGAATGGTCGAGTGGGGAATCCTACCAAGGCATCAGAATTAATTTTAAATAATTAAATTAAATGAAAAAATCCCGGCCAACGGTGGGATTCGAACCTGAGACCTTCCGATCTCAAAGTCATGACTCTAACCACTGAGCCAACCCACCCCCCTATATATTATTATTATTATTATTATTATTATTATTATTATTATTATTATTATTATTATTATTATTATTATTATTATTATTATTATTATTATTATTATTATTATTATTATTATTATTATTATTATTATTATTATTATTATTATTATTATTATTATTATTATTATTATTATTATTATTATTATTATTATTATTATTATTATTATTATTATTAATATTATTTATTATTATTATTATTATTATTATTATTATTATTATTTATTATTATTATTATTATTATTATTATTATTATTATTATTATTATTATTATTATTATTATTATTATTATTATTATTATTATTATTATTATTATTATTATTATTATTATTATTATTATTATTATTATTAATATTATCATTATCATTATTATTTTTATTATTTTTATTATTAATATTATTAATATTATTATTATTATTATTATTATTATTATTATTATTATTATTATTATTATTATTATTATTATTATTATTATTATTATTATCATTATTATTATTATTATTATTATTAATATTATGTTTTGGTATCACTATCTCTAGGATAGGTGGGACAAATGCAAGATCGGCCATGGCAAGATTCTTGCATTTTAATTATATAGAAACGTTTAGGAATGTGCGTACAATAGAGGTAGTGGATAGTATCACTGCCTTTTGGATAATCGCTAATTTATTGGCAATTTCCAGCATCCTCAGATTGTTAGTGAGTGACTTTGGTACTACACCGGTGGAAGATATAATCAACAGGACTACAGACACACTCTCCTGGCGCCACATTTGTTGAATTTCCTGCCCAAGTCTCTGGTACTTTGCTTCCTTCTCAGCGTAGTAAGTCAAGATGTTGTGACCATTTGGGATTCCTATGTCAATTAACAAAACTCGTTTTCTTGATTTATCAACGATGATGATGTCTGGCCTATTGTGGACAATAGTACGGTCTGTTAGTACCGACCTATCCCAGTACAACTTATGCGTAGAGTTTTCCAAGACAGGACTAGGCTCGTACTTGTAATATGGTATCTCTTCGCTCAGGAGGCCATGTAAGCAAGCCAAACTTTGATGGACAATCTTAGCTACCTGATTGTGTCTCGAGAGATATTCCCTTGGCACTAGTATTGGGCAAGCGCTTGTTATGTGTTGGATGGTCTCGGATTCTTGATGACATTTTCTGCACAAGTCATTTTCCACTTGAGCCCTTATTATGTACTTAAGGTAGTTTTTGGTGGCAATAACTTGGTCTTGGATCGCTATCATGAATCCCTCTGTCTCTGCAAATATGTCGGCTCGTCCTAACCATCCATTCGAGGCCTTAGAGTCGACATACGGTTGGCTGAGGAGGCTTGCATGACGACCATGTAGAGGTTTGGAAGTCCAGTCCTGTTTCTTCCCTTGTATATAAGTCTCATCCGAGACTAATTCTCTAGTATCATGAGATAGGTCCAAGGGTGTGTATCTGTTGTCTGCTTTTATTACGGCTTGGTAGAGGGCGCCGTCCTGTTTCTTGAAATATTTTTGCAATCCCTGGGTCTGTTTTTGACACATCCTGCCGATATCGATCATCGCGCGTCCTCCATCTTGGCGGGGAAGAGTTAATCGTTCCAGTGCTGACTTAGGGTGAAGTATTCAATTTTTTGTTAGAAGCTTACGTGTGGCTCTCTCAATGTCCCTGATTTCCATTTCTCTCCACTTCACCACTCCAAACGTATAAGTCAGAACTGGAATGGCAAACGTATTTATGGCCTTAAATACATTTTTACCATTTAAGGAGGTCCTGAGGATATCGCCTATTCTTTTCAGATATTGCTCCGTTACTCGGTGTCGAATCTCCTTGTGTTTTACACGTTCTGTTTGTTGAAGGCCTAGATATTTATATGTGTCATCTTGATCCATCGCGGCAATAAAGCCTTCATTAATTAGGTCAAATCCATGAAGAATCACCTGACCCTTATCGATACGTAGTCTTCTACATTTGTTCAGCCCAAAAGACATCCGAATGTCGGTAGAAAAACTCTCTGTTAGTTGTAGCAAATTAGTTATATGGGTCTCAGTGGAACCGTACAGCTTAATATCGTCCATATATAGTAGGTGGCTAAGTCTATACTGTATTGCGTTTTCTCCTTTAATAAGAAAACCATACCTAGTACTATTGAGAAGAGTGGACAGTGGGTTTAGTGCTAAACAAAACTACAATGGACTAAGACTATCTCCTTGGAAAATTCCTCTTTTGATTGGGATAAGCTGAGACTGTATAGTACCCTCGTTGTGAAAAAGATACAGAGTGGTCTCATATGATGACATCATATGTTTTAGTGTTTCAACTATGATTGGTGCTACTTTGTATATTTCTAAGACCCTAATAAGCCAAGAATGAGGCACACTGTCAAAGGCCTTTTGATAGTCAATGAAGGCTGTAAATATGTTTCTCTGTTTATGGTAGGCTTGCTCCATTACCACTGCATCAATGATGAGTTGTTCTTTACATCCCTGGGAGTTTTTGATGCATCCTTTTTGCTCTATGGCCAACACAGAGTTCTGATTTAGATGTTGGTATATTCTATCAGCTATACACGCAGTCATTAATTTATACAGAGTGCAGAGGCAAGTGATGGGGCGGTATTTAGAGGGATCTTGTGTGTTGTTTTCATCTTTGGGAAGTAGAAACGTCTTACCCCTAGTAAAATACCAGGGGATTTGTTGTGGGGACTGGAGGAATTTTACAAAATATGTTGCCACATATGGGTGGATACAACTAAACCTCTTTAACCAAAAGTTATGAATACCGTCTGGGCCTGTGGATTTCCAATTTTGGGTTTTGTTCACTGCTAAAGTGACATCCCGTGCTGAAAATTCCACATTATCCATGCCAGGTATTTCAGATACTCTTTCTTCTTCAGATGTTATCCATGTTGCATTTTCTTCATGTTCAATTTCATCCGTCCATATTTTGCTCCAAAAGTCTACTATTTCTTCTTGGGATGGTGGTTGCATTATATTTATATTTCCATTTCTTAATCCTCTGTAGAAAACTTTCTCGTTCCGTTGGAATAGGGTGTTATGTTCCCTTCGTTTAGTTGATTTTCTATACCTGCGCAGTTTATTTGTCTTTACTAAAATCTTCTGGCGCAGAGTATCGATTAAAAGTTCTGGAGTGTTATTCGGAGGATCCTGTTGGGTATGAATCGTCATGTTGCTCTCCAGTTTTCGATAGAAGCCTATTATTTTACGACTTCTGTTTCCCGCTATGTATTGTATTAATCTGCCTATCTGAACTCTTAGTTGTTCTATGTCGCGAGATATGCGATGGTCCCAAGCAGGTTTTTTCTTTTCTGGTCTAGAACCCTGTTTCGATGTATTTGTTTTTCCTCCAGTATGTCGAACGACTGCAGTAGCTGCGCTATAAATTATGGTCTGGAGGTCTTCAAAGGTCGATATATTCTGCTCTAAGTAACTTGGTAGTATTGTGGTATTCATCAGTGTCACTGCAACTGCAAGTTTCTTAGATGAATTCTGCTTCGGGATGGATGGTCTTAGCAGGGGGTCGGTACCTTCAAACTCAGTTATAGCACTTCTGAACTCAAACAGAAGCTTTTGGTGTGCATGATTATCTTGTACTATTTCAGGAACTACGTTCAAAGGTGGTTCTGGATCCTGATCAGGATATCCTGCACCTGAGTCTAGATGGTGAGGTCCTGGGTCTTCTTGGTTTACCTCTTGTTCTATTTGCGGGATCGCAATTTCTATTTAATGAAGAGGAATCTCTCTTGCTACATCTTGCCTAATTTGAGCCAGCCTAGCCTCCGGAACTAGATTCCTTTGGATAATAGGCGCGTCTTTGGTCTGCTATCCGCTGCTCAGTAACTTGCCGCTCGGGGTATTTCTGTAGAAATGCCTGGTGTAACAATAGTCGGTACGCTCCTATATCCGCTTCATTTTTAGTTATATTGTAGTAGCAGCGCATGATGTATTCATTCATTTCTGTAGTCCATTTCATGCGTTGCCGTGGTTGTCCAGCCACTGTGGTCCCTAGCCTAGCTGGGGAAGCACGTTTTGCGACTGGGGTCCGGGGTTCAATTGCTTGGTCGTTCTCTTGATCGGGCTGATTATTATTAGAGCTACGTTCCCGATCATAACGCTGCTCTACCGAGGCTTGACTCCTTGTAACAGGTGCAATTAAATCACAATCAGTGGGGCTGCAAACCCCATTGATCGGTTAGCTTGGGCAGACCGGGGGCGCAACTCCCCAGAAGATAGCAACGGGATCCCTGGTCATTCCCCTTTTAGTCGCTTTTTACGACAGGCAGGAGGTACCATGGGTCTATTCTGCGTGGGTGGCCCCAATCTCATAGGGGGTTTATTATTATTATTATTATTATTATTATTATTATTATTATTATTATTATTATTATTATTATTATTATTATTATTATTATTATTATTATTATTATTATTATTATTATTATTATTATTATTATTATTATTATTATTATTATTATTATTATTATTATTATTATTATTATTATTATTATTATTATTATTATTATTATTATTATTATTATTATTATTATTATTATTATTATTATTATTATTATTATTATTATTATTATTATTATTATTATTATTATTATTATTATTATTATTATTATTATTATTATTATTATTATTATTATTATTATTATTATTATTATTATTATTATTATTATTATTATTATTATTATTATTATTATTATTATTATTATTATTATTATTATTATTATTATTATTATTATTATTATTATTATTATTATTATTATTATTATTATTATTATTATTATTATTATTATTATTATTATTATTATTATTATTATTATTATTATTATTATTATTATTATTATTATTATTATTATTATTATTATTATTATTATTATTTATTATTATTATTTTACACTCACTATCTCAGCCAATTGGCTGGATAAAATTCACGCACCCCGGATACAGAGTATCAAAGGGGTTGGGCTCAGTCGTTACACCTGTAAAAATTTTCTTACCGTGCGGCAAGTGTTCAGAATGACCGCTTTCTGGAGGTCGATATAGGTATTCTTATGGAGTCCCAGTTTCGCTAGGCTTGTTTCTAGTGATTTCGGTACAATGCCTGTGGATGATAGTATAACTGGGACTATCGCGACCTTGTTTGCATGCCACATCTGTCGGATCTCAAAAGCGAGGTCTGTATATTTACTTATCTTCTCCTGATATTTACTTAAGATGTTGTTGTTATTTGGTATGGCGATGTCTATCAGAAGGACCGAGTTGATTCCTTTATCCACCACCACTATATCAGGCCTGTTATTCGTCTATCGGTGATAATAGGCCTGTCGTAGTAGATTCTAAAGTGGTCATTCTCGAGTACCTTCTGCGGTTGATACTTGTAATATGGAGTATAAGTATTAATAAGTCCAAGCTTGTTGGCTAACTTTTGATGGATAATATTGCAGACCTGATTATGTCGATGGAGGTAATCAGTATTTGCCAACAAGCTGCACCCAGATGTTATGTGCTGAATTGTTTCCGACACTTGATGGCATTTTCTGCATTTGTCTGTTTTGGTGTTTGGATCTCTAATAATGTACTTTTTATAATTGTTTGTATTAACCACTTGATCTTGTATAGCACTCATGAAACCCTCGGTCTCAGGGAAGAGCTCGCCTCTAGTGAGCCACTTATTAGATGCCTCCTTGTCAATGTGAGGCTGATTAAGATCATAGTAGTGTCGACCATGCAGCTCTTTCTGAGACCATTCTTCTTTCTTGATGGCGTCCGATTTCTCTTTGAACACTACTTCAGCCGAGGCAAGATTAAGAGCCGAATAGTTCTTGTCTGCCGTCACAATGGTATTGTGAACGTTTGATGTTCGAGCTTTCTTGTAGAAAAACTCTCGTAAATTACTAACCTGACGAGAGTGCAGGTTAATAATATCAACCAGGCCTCGTCCTCCATCTTTCCTCGGCAAAGTTGTTCGAAGTGTTGATGATTTTGGGTGATGACAGTTATGTTTGGTCATCATAGTACAGATGTCAGATGTCATGTGCTGAATTGTTTCCGATACTTGATGGCATTTTCTGCATTTGTCCGTTTTGGTGTTTGGATCTCTAATAATGTACTTTTTATAATTATTTATAATTATAATAATAATAATAATAATTTATAATTATTATTATTATTATTCTTATTATTATTATTATTATTATTATTATTATTATTATTATTATTATTATTATTATTATTATTATTATTATTATTATTATTATTATTATTATTATTATTATTATTATTATTATTATTATTATTATTATTATTATTATTATTATTATTATTATTATTATTATTATTATTATTATTATTATTATTATTATTATTATTATTATTATTATTATTATTATTATTATTATTATTATTATTATTATTATTATTATTATTATTATTATTATTATTATTATTATTATTATTATTATTATTATTATTATTATTATTATTATTATTATTATTATTATTATTATTATTATTATTATTATTATTATTATTATTATTATTATTATTATTATTATTATTATTATTATTATTATTATTATTATTATTATTATTATTATTATTATTATTATTATTATTATTATTATTATTATTATTATTATTATTATTATTATTATTATTATTATTATTATTATTATTATTATTATTATTATTATTATTATTATTATTATTATTATTATTATTATTATTATTATTATTATTATTATTATTATTATTATTATTATTATTATTATTATTATTATTATTATTATTATTATTATTATTATTATTATTATTATTATTATTATTATTATTATTATTATTATTATTATTATTATTATTATTATTATTATTATTATTATTATTATTATTATTATTATTATTATTATTATTATTATTATTATTATTATTATTATTATTATTATTATTATTATTATTATTATTATTATTATTATTATTATTATTATTATTATTATTATTATTATTATTATTATTATTATTATTATTATTATTATTATTATTATTATTATTATTATTATTATTATTATTATTATTATTATTATTATTATTATTATTATTATTATTATTATTATTATTATTATTATTATTATTATTATTATTATTATTATTATTATTATTATTATTATTATTATTATTATTATTATTATTATTATTATTATTATTACTATTATTATTATTATTATTATTATTATTATTATTTTGATTTTTCTCAGCTATTTGCCGGTTGCAATAGGCATAGTTAAAGAAGAAATTCATCTTATTCCAACACGCCCAAAAATGTCCTCACTATATGGCAGGTCTGTAGGATGGCTGCTTTTTGTAGATGTGGTATAATGGGAGGTATATTTAGTTTTTCTAGTTGTTTAGAAAGGTTAACGGAGACAATTCCTGTAACGGAAACTACTATTGGGATTATTTGTACCCTCTTCATGCCCCAAACATGTTTTATTTCTATGGCAAGATTTTCATATTTTGTAGTTTTTTCTAATTCTGTTTTCAGAACGTTATGGCTCAGTGGGCAAGCAATGTCTATAATAAATGCTTCTTTATTTTCTTTCCCGATAATGACGATATCAGGTCGGTTGTAGTCCACTGTTCGATCAGTAAGTATCGGTCTATCCCAATATAAAATGTTTTCCCTTGATTCTAAAATCGGCTCTGGATTATAGCGATAGTAAGGTGGAGGATTTTTAGTTAGGTTTAGTTTTTGCGCTAACTGGGAATGTATTATTTTGGCTACCTGATTATGTCTTCCTAGGTAGGCACTACTCGATAATGCGGAACATCCAGCCGTTATGTGTTCTATTGTTTCGTTAGGTACACGACATTTTCTGCATACATCTTCCACATTTGCTTTCAAGATATGCTTTTCATAGTTTCGGGTACGGATTACCTGATCTTGAATTGCTATTAAAAATCCCTCGGTATCCGGGTATAGTTGTCCTTTTATTAGCCAAGTTAGCGAAAGTTCTTTACTAATGTTTTGTTGTGTCAGTGCAGCTGGGTATTTTCCGTGTAAAACTTTTTCTCTCCATGATGTTCTTATCGATTGGTTACTAATTGGTGCTCTATGTTCTTCTTGTTCCGATAGATTTAGAGGTGTATATTTATTATCATGTGTCACAATAGATCTTAATAATGGGCACTCTGCTTTGCTAAAATATTCCTTCATTTTCTGCTCTTGTTCTTTGCATAGCTTTTCTATACAAATAAACCCACGTCCTCCTTCGCTTCTGGGTAGATGTGTTCGCTCAACGGCAGATCTGGGATGATGATATCTAAATTTAGTTAGAAGTCTGCGTGTTAGACGGTCTAGCTCTTTCAAATCAGTGGTGGTATATTTCAAAATCCCAAAAGAGTAAGTCAGTACAGATATTGCCCAGGTATTGACAGCTATAGTAAGATTTTTAGAGTTTATTATTATTATTATTATTATTATTATTATTATTATTATTATTATTATTATTATTATTATTATTATTATTATTATTATTATTATTATTATTATTATTATTATTATTATTATTATTATTATTATTATTATTATTATTATTATTATTATTATTATTATTATTATTATTATTATTATTATTATTATTATTATTATTATTATTATTATTATTATTATTATTATTATTATTATTATTATTATTATTATTATTATTATTATTATTATTATTATTATTATTATTATTATTATTATTATTATTATTATTATTATTATTATTATTATTATTATTATTATTATTATTATTATTATTATTATTATTATTATTATTATTATTATTATTATTATTATTATTATTATTATTATTATTATTATTATTATTATTATTATTATTATTATTATTATTATTATTATTATTATTATTATTATTATTATTATTATTATTATTATTATTATTATTATTATTATTATTATATTATTATTATTATTATTATTATTATTATTATTATTATTATTATTATTATTATTATTATTATTATTATTATTATTATTATTATTATTATTATTATTATTATTATTATTATTATTATTATTATTATTATTATTTTGATTTTTCTCAGCTATTTGCCGGTTGCAATAGGCATAGTTAAAGAAGAAATTCATCTTATTCCAACACGC